TTTAAAAAAATCATTTTTGAATTTTTAAAGGAATAAAATTAAGTATATAGTTTTAATTAATATTAGAAGACCGTTCCACGTGTCTCTTCCTTTTTGCTAATGGCATCACTACTCCCTTTTGATTGGCAAACTTCTTATTATTATTATTATTATGCTTCCTTTTGATTTTAAAAATTGGCTTTTTTTTTTAAAAAAAATATAAATATATAAAAAGAGAGTATCTGTTTGCTTTTTGTCCTAGAAATTGGCTTGCATTGGAGCTTTGACATCCGACACCCAAGTTATGGTAACTGCTTATTCTCCATTCTTAAAAGCATCACTAGCAGGCTACACTGTCTGCATTTCTTCACAATTTCAGGATTTATTTAACTAAATAGGCGAAGCCCTGCATTGCACGGATTATTTATATTTTATAAATACATATCAAAGATCCATTTTCTTTATGAATTTTTTAATTGTTGTATATCGTATTTATTAAGTTGTATTTAGTATATTATTAAAAAATCTATTTTCTCGCAAGTTGTTTTATTAAATTATCATCTCATTTATGAAGTTATTAAATTATAGAAGTTGTATGCCATTGATTTATTTTAAATAACTATGCAATTCAATAAAATGTTTAGGCTTTAGTTAAAGTTTATAAAGGTTTTAGTTAAAGTTTATAATTCAAACAATTTATCTTGAGATAAGGAGTGGCAAGGTTCAATAGAAACTGTTTAGGCTTTAGTTAAATTTATGAAGTGTTAGTTAAAGTGTTAAGATGCGAGAACAGATTTATCTTTATCATTAAATAATTCTTACAAATAAAGTTTTCCCAATTCCAAAGTGATGAGTATGATAGGAGGATATAATTATTTATTTTTAGAGTTAAATTATGTTAATATGAAAGTATAGTGGTGAGTTGATTTAGGTAATATTAAGTGGTAGGATTTTTACAACATTGAAAATTCATATATGAAAGCAGATGCTTTTCCCCTTTGGCAAGAAAATATAATAAGAATTGTTCTTGAGTCAAAGATGAAGGCAGCAGATATTTCCAAATGCTCCCATGAGCTGGGTGGGTCCTGAGATTTCAAGACCTAATTGAGTGTGTGCGGGACTAATAGGATTAATAATAATAATGTTTAGCAATAACATAAATAGAAAAAACAAAATATGATGGGTTAACAATGTAAAACTAATAACTAATAATTAAGATGAAGTATAGCAAGGTGAGAGGAACTAATAATTAATAATAAATAATATAGCAACGGAGAGAGTACCTTATAAGAAAGCATTAATAGATAATCAGTGGAAAAAAGAATGCATATAACTTTTTTCAATTAAACTAATATTACGAATTGCATTCAGATTAAGACGGAATAAAAGAAGCCTTCCATGTTGTTTTCTATATACTTTCGTTCTTCGAAGAGTCTTGAAACAGAAATAATCAATTTATTAATTAGTAGAATATTCAACAATTTGGGAATGTTTAGTAATTAATTACTTGATTTCATTATATACATGAAATCACTTGGCAAGAGACCAATACAAATTTATCCCAATCCAAACAGCAAATTCACTGTCACTTAACTAAATTAAAAGAAAAAAAGATTTTTAAAAAGCTACATACACTTCATATGTATCTAAATAATTGCTCACCAAAGAAAAGATTTTTTATTCACCCATAAGTGGAAGATTAAGGAATATAGAGAGATATATAAATCATTATCGATCCAATCCATCGCCATGAATGTTTTCTATGTTGAGTTAATTTTATTATTTATAAACAGTAGGCGTTAAATTGGATAGCTAAGTTTTAGGTAGACTTTGTAATTCAAATAATTTGCTAGTGTAAATAATAATGTCATATGGATAATGTGATCTTAGAAAAATATTAAAATGTCATATGGATAATGTGATCTTAGAAAAATATTAAAATTCAATCAAATCATAATTTGTTAGTGTAGATAATAATTCTATATGGATAAAATGATCTTAGTAAATATTAAAATCCAATCAAATTATAATAAAATAATGAAAATTCAAAAATCTATAAAAAAAAAGATAAATAGTAACGATGAATGGAAAGAGTGCATTGAATTTATTTTTTGCTTCAGAATTATATATATATATATATTGCGAGATTTTGATAGATTTTTTTGTTTCTAAATTTAATTTAACTTGGTATATCATAAGGTTTCACAATAAAAAAAAGATTTTATTTTTAAATAAAGTTTATCTCGAACTCGAAACTTATTTAAAGGAATTTTATCTGAATATTTGAATATAAAAACGCATGTGACAACAAAAAATGAAGTTACAAAAATGCAGCTTTTATAATGACATGAAATTATATGATTCTTTCTGTGATTTTAGGTATAACCTTAGCTAAGTTGCCCTGCCCTCCTTCCTAATTTATCTTTTTTCGTTTTTGTCAAAAGAAGATGTATCAATTCAAAAGTTTGGATTTAAATTTTGAATCTCAATTTATTATTTTAATTAGAAATTTCGTTAACCGCGTCGGCCTACAGTGCCCTAAATTGTTAATTAATTATTTTAATCTCTTGATTTGATTCCTCTAACTTAGTTGACCTTTGAATCCTAGTTTACATTACAAAAAAAACCAAGGAGTGAAGTGAGCGATTTATTTAATATTTCTTGTGTATTTATGAGTATTTATTCATAAATACACAAATCATATGTTTGTATATATATATATATATACAAATCATATGTTTAATTTGTGAATATAAATGAGTATTTTTCGTAAATACAAAATACAAAATTGTGAATGTTCATTTATATTTCAAGTGCCATCAAAGATTGAATTATTATCTATATAAAAAAAAAGAGCACATCCACCCAATTAGTTAATAAAAATTAAATGTCAATCACCCAATTAGTTAATAAAAATTAAATGTCAATCAAACAAAGGATTATACCAACCAAATATTGAGGACGAAATAACCTTTTTTAAATTGGAGACTTGCATGATTAATTATTTTAAATTTTGATACAATCAAGCGATTATTATTTATTTGATTTGATGTTTTAGAAAATCTTGAGATTTCAAGGGAGATGGTATGCAGGTTTGGTGTTCATAATCATTCTTGCATGGTTGAGTGGGGGAGGATGACTCACTGAGTGCATATTATGTGTTATGTAAAGCTTCTTTTTTTTTTTTTTCTTAGTTTATTGAAATTTAATTAGAAAATGCATTTTCTTAGTTTATTGAAATTGTAATAGAAAATGCAAACCAATAATGTTTGATTTAAACAAAAGCCATTTTTGTTTTATTTTATTTTATTTTATTTTATTTTATTGGTATTTGTCTTTCTCTTCCCGGCAAGTAAACCATATATTCCCTCTTCATGATTCCTGAAAGTGAAAGGTTCTTCATTTTCCTTAGTGCTCACCATATGGCAACATGAAACATGCATTGTTTAACTTAACGAACAGTGCACGATAGCAACTTTAACAATAAATAATAATAATAATAATAAAGCAAATTAAATATTATATATAGTAAGTGAATTCTGCATTATTTTGTGATATTTATTTTTTTTTTAAAAAAAGGAAATGTTTATTTTAATCGTGTAAATTTATATTAATGTGTTACGAGATTGATACTTGATCAGTAAATTATTGATGAAAAATCGTATTGATTACATTTAGTTTATTTATGATAATGATTTTAGTTTTTAGTTAGAAACCAGCTGAAATTGCATCAATTGAAATTATTTACACTGAAAGCAAAGAATTAAAAAAGAAAATGATTTGATTTTTCCTTTTGGGATATGAATCCCAGTTGATATTAATTAAGATATTAGGAATATGTTGTGGTCCAAAGTCAAACATAATTACTCACTAATTTGATTATGTTGTTAGCTTAAAGTGGGAGAAAGCACGGGCATGTCCTGATTAATTATTTAGCCCTATTCAATTTAGAAACTTCATGATTACATTAATACCCTTATCTATGTTTTATACGCTGCTGTCGTTTGCCTCCCAGTTTGGAAAAACTCGTTCGTGACATATGTAATCAGTGAAAAATCCAACAATTTTACTTAAGATTATGACATCTCACGCGCTTCCGGTTCACGTACATTCCACACCCTAAATATTGTTACCCTCAACTCTTAAATAAGAATAATAATACTTCCTCTTCTCGTAAAACTAAAATTATGGTTATCCCAAAATCATTCGAGTTCTTATACAGTGAAATGTTATGATTTTATCGTGGAATGACAAATCAATAGTTAATAATTAATTATGGAATTCATCCTAAAAAATAATTATTAAATAAATATAAATATAGTTTTTATAACTTAAAAGAAGTAATTGCTGGAAAGAGAAAAAAAAAATGTAAAATTTATGGAATTTATATATATATATTTTTTACTATTGGCTTGCTATTCCATGTAGGTTGTCTTATATGAAATCACGGATGTAATGGAATTTATATATATATATTTTTTACTATTGGCTTGCTATTCCATGTAGGTTGTCTTATATGAAATCACGGATGTATTCTTGTGAACTATAAGCATTTTCTTATAGTTCACACAGCTTTAGTGATTTTTTTATAGTTTTTGTTGCCACACGCTGCATTAGCGCGTGGATGCAGATATGTATCAAACAAACTGCGAGGTAAGTGGACAATTAATAAAGTAGGAGCCGACCGTATTGGGATTATGTTATACGAATCTTTGCGTTTTAAAAGCCCAAAGAAAGCGCTTTTACAAAACAAAAATAGGCTCATTTTTGCAAGCAGCCAAACAGACCTTTAAAATTTATAACATTTTTTTTATTTATATAAAATCTAATTTAATAAAAAAAAAACGCAACAAAATGGAAAATATTAAAAAATGCATTGGATGAAGCTCCAGCGTCAGTATGTATGAGTGAAGCCAAACTGTGGGTCACAAAGCTATTCAAAGTGGCCCCACATTCTCTGTCAAACCTTAGAAAGAGAGAGAGTCGAGAGTGTTTATAAAAGCAGCTGCAAAGAACTTCCATTTTTATGCAATTTGCCACCAACAAGCCCACACATAGACACTTGCATACACATGTTATGTTTACTGGTTAAACAAATTAGTTAAACCTCTCTCTCTAACCTCATTCTTTTCTACTTTTCTCATATTCTCTCTCCCAAACAAGAAAAAGATAGGTTCTTTAGACAAAAATACACACAACCAGCTGTTTTCTTTGTTTGTCTCTCTATTTCCTTTCTATTTGCTTTCTCTCTCTAGATAAAGAAGTGTAGAATAAAGTGTTCGCAGGGAGAAAGAATAAGAGAAGGATAAAAAAAGGGCATTGCTTTGGAGAGTTATTATTCTTGAAGTTATGGTCACGGCCACGAAGAAGAAGTCTGCAATGCCAAAAGATGTGTTAGTAGTTCTGTTGTTCTTGTTGGGTTTATGGGTTTGTTCTGTTACTGCTTCTGTGTCTTATGACTCTAGAGCTATTACCATTAATGGACAAAGAAGGATCCTCATTTCTGGATCCATTCACTACCCAAGAAGCTCCCCTGAGGTATTTTTCCAAATGTGCTTCATGGATTTCTTTTGTTTCATGTTATTTCTCTTTTTTATTTTTCTTTTCTTTGGTAACCTCTCTTTAAGCTTCTCTTCAAATAGGTACCACTCATTTTTTTTTCCTTATATATTTCCGGCTTTTAATTAATGGATTTCTGCTGGGGATACGGCAGATGTGGCCAGATCTTATACAGAAGGCAAAGGAAGGAGGACTGGATGTGATTCAGACTTATGTTTTTTGGAATGGCCATGAACCATCACCTGGAAAAGTAATTAAAAATTGAAAATTTTATTTAATGGTTTCTTTTTTATTAATTTCGCTCACTGGGGAAATGCTTCTGACTTTTATATTTGACTGGCCGCTATAGTATTATTTTGAGGGCAACTATGATCTGGTGAAGTTTATCAAGCTAGTGAAGCAAGCAGGTCTTTATGCTCATCTCAGGATTGGACCTTATGTGTGTGCTGAGTGGAACTTTGGGTAATACACCAGAACTTGCAGCTCAAATATTTCACTTGCTAAAAACTGAAAGAAAAAAAAAGGTTATATCAGTAAATATGAGTTATCGGTGAATTTTTGCTGAATGTTTTGTTCTAATTTTCAGGGGTTTCCCAGTTTGGCTCAAGTACATTCCGGGAATCAATTTCAGAACAGATAATGGCCCTTTCAAAGTAGGGCACATTTAATCATTTATTTTTTATATATATCTTTTCATTTTAAATTTCGCCTATTTCATTGATTTGATTTATCTATTTACTCAATTTTGGATTTTAAATTCTACAAAATGAAGGCTGAAATGCAAAAATTCACTACAAAGATTGTCAACATGATGAAAGCAGAAGGGCTGTTTGAGTCTCAAGGTGGTCCAATTATTTTATCCCAGGTATTCCCATCTTTTGATTATTTGGGTCCATCTTAATCCACTATTCAGCAGTATATTTTCCAACTTAATACAAAGCTATTTTCTTGATCTTTCACTCGATTTAATAGAATAAATTTATTAAAAGAAGTGTTTTGTTTCTTGATTAATGTCTGACAGATTGAAAATGAATATGGACCCATGGAATATGAACTTGGTGCACCCGGTAAAGCTTACTCCAACTGGGCAGCAAAAATGGCTGTAGGTCTTGGCACTGGCGTCCCATGGGTCATGTGCAAGCAAGATGATGCCCCAGATCCTGTTGTAAGTTATCAGCAAATCTTGTTTTACCTTTTAGCATCCTCTTTTTACTTTTTCTTGTCAACTTCATATCTAATTCTTTATGGTACTCATAATATGTCTCCCTCACTTCCTTAGTGGGTTGTCAGTTAGCAGTGTGCTTTCCCATTTTCGTTCATGGATGAATTGAATTATTAATTCTAATAGCACATGGCTTAGCTTTGATTCTCAGCTCTATCAGTGGCGCTGTCCTTTTAATTCTCTCTTGCCTTAGAGGCTCTTTTATAATAAAAAGGTTAATGACAGCATCTCCTTGTTATTCATAATCACCACATATTTCAAATTCCATAGTCAACGGTGGTGATAAATTATAGTTGACCTCTTCTTTTCTTGAGGTATGAGGAAGCGATTTTTGTTTATCCAGTCTTTTGGAATTAACTATGTTCGGCTTAACTTTTCGTGTGTTGCAATCATACTGTCCATCATTTTCTTATTATACCGTGTGATTTGTTCTCTCAACTTATGTGTTTGAGCGGCTCTTAATATTTTATTTTCCATGTTGTCTCAATAGATTAACACCTGCAACGGTTTCTACTGTGACTATTTCTCTCCAAACAAACCTTATAAACCCAAGATGTGGACTGAAGCCTGGACTGGCTGGTAAAAACTCCATGCTTCTTGCTTGGCAGCATTTTCTGTATAACCATCATCAATAAAAGAATTACAGTTTCATGGAAATCACAGTGGAATATCAGCTGATTACCTTTTTTCTCATTTTAATTTTTTCTTGCAGGTTTACTGAATTTGGAGGTGCAGTTCCTTACAGACCAGCTGAAGACTTGGCATTTTCAGTTGCAAGGTTTATACAGAAAGGAGGATCATTCATAAATTACTATATGGTAATTTAGTAGTTTCTATAATTGACTAATTGAGTTGCTTTGTATCTTAGTTATGTGAAGTCTCATATGCTTGTTTTTGTGATTTCATAAATTACTATATGGTAATTTAGTAGTTTCTATAATTGACTAATTGAGTTGCTTTGTATCTTAGTTATGTGAAGTCTCATATGCTTGTTTTTGTGATATAGTATCATGGAGGAACAAATTTTGGGCGAACTGCTGGTGGTCCTTTCATCGCTACAAGTTATGATTATGATGCTCCTATTGATGAATACGGTACGTGCAAAGCATTGGCATTTTAGGGCAGTTTGTTCCTTTTGTGTTTATCCATTATCTGATTTGCATGGTTTAACTTTTAACTAGAGACTTATGATATGCCCCATGTTTTTTAGCATTCATATAAAGAGAAAGTAGGCTGTAATACTCATATTGTCATTAAGTATCATCGTCCACATCTGTGGAATAGGTGCTGCTGGCACTCAAGACTTCGCCATGAATCGAGGGGCAGCTCAGTAGTTCATATGCTCGTTCTGGCCAATCTATTGTTGTGCAATGGTACTTGAATTGCTGAAATATGCAATTAACATGATTATCTATAAGTCAACTGTTGAGTCCCATCATGTAATCTGTGATGCTGGGATGATGATTACCTATGTTCTTTTTCCAAGTTGCTCTTTGGTCATAGATGTCATTTTCCTCTTTATTAAGATTTTGATAGCTTGATATCTGTTAAAGCGTCCTAACTGATAGCATTTCGTTTATTTACATATATTTCATGGTATGGTGGGTCCTTCCCCTAGTCAATCAATAAATTTTTGATTAATGGTTTTTATGGATAAGGAATGATATTATTACTGTTAGTTATTTTAGCAAGTAAAATGTTCTTGTTATTGCAAAAGCTTTTAAAACTTTTCTGTATTCCTCCTCAAGTTTACCCTAATCTCTTCTTCGTTAATCATGACTTTGATGTTGATTGTTTATTTGTTTTGCATCATATGAAGGTTTAGAATTATTTTTTTATGTAGGACTAATCAGGCAACCTAAATGGGGTCATTTAAAGGATTTGCACAGAGCAATTAAGTTGTGTGAACCGGCTTTAGTATCTGCAGCTCCAACTGTGATGCCACTTGGAAATTATCAAGAGGTTCAATATAACTCTTTGTTCTATAACAAATGAAGTATTCTTATTTTCAAAGGACTATGTTACTAAATTTTACTTGTTTCTTCATTATTTATATACAGGCTCATGTATTTAAATCAAAATCTGGAGCTTGTGCAGCATTCCTTGCAAATTACAATCAGAGATCATTTGCAAAAGTGGCTTTTGGGAATATGCATTACAATTTACCTCCATGGTCTGTCAGCATTCTTCCAGATTGCAAGAACACCGTTTACAACACAGCAAGGGTCAGAAATGCTTCCCCACAAGTTCTAGAATATTATTAGTCCACACTTTTGTTGTTTCTTTGGTTTCGCTAAACTGAAGACTTTGTACAGCTTGGCGCACAAAGTGCCCGAATGAAAATGACTCCTGTTCCTATGCATGGAGGATTCTCTTGGCAGGCATACAGTGAAGAGACATCTGCAGAAGGTGACCACACCTTTACAATGGTTGGGTTGTTGGAGCAGATAAACACTACTAGAGATGTGACAGACTACTTGTGGTACTCAACAGAGTGAGTATTATAACAATGCAAGATCTCCATTGTGTTACAGTTTGCATTTTGTGCTAAAACTCACAATCTTTTGCTACTCTGCGTTCTAGTATGTATATCTTTTTCATGTGTTTTTTCTTCATTGGCAGTGTTCATATCAACCCCAATGAAGGCTTTCTGAAGAGCGGAAAATATCCTGTTCTTACTGTTCTATCAGCTGGCCATGCTTTGCATATTTTTGTCAATGGTGACTATCAGACTGGCCATTGCTTTTGCATATTTTTGTCAATGGTTGAATTATCAGGGTTTGGGATTTGTGTTTCAGGCTTTGTTACTGTTCCAGACTCTTTGTTTATCATTAAATTTATTGAAAAGAAAAGCTCATACTGACCAAAGTAAACTATTCCATAAATATGAAATGGGATGAATTGATTTATTAATGTTTACTTGTTTTTAGAGATCGCTACTTAATAGGACTGGATATATGCTACTTTAATAGACTGGATATTATCTAAGTGCTAGGCTCTTTTAACTATCCAATGAGCCTTCTCCTAAAATGGAACATGGTAGTAATTTACATGGCTCTTAATTTGAAGGTACACTTTGAGAAGTTTGTGTCAAACTTCCTCACTGTTGCTTTCCGTCGCTAGTTAAAATAACTTTGTTGACTTGTAGTGTTCTGTATGTGGTTTGAGGTATATTTTGACCTATAGCATTGGTTTTCTTAACCTTGAACAGGAACTGCATATGGAAGTCTAGAATCCCCAAAGTTGACATTTAGTCAAGGTGTCAAGATGAGAGCTGGTATCAACAAAATTTCTCTTCTCAGTATTGCTGTCGGACTCCCGGTTTGTACCCGGGTTTTTGCACCCCCGACAGTTTCCTCCTCTCCTCTCACAGTTTATGAATATCCCACGCAAATTGATGGGGCCTTTTTTTTTTTTTTTGGGAAAGGGCAAGTTCTTTTTGGGGGGAAAAAAAAAAATTTTTTGATTTTCCAATTTAATTACTATTATTCTTTGCTGATTTTTGTCTTTTGCTGATTTTGTTTTGTTGTAGAATGTTGGTCCACACTTTGAGACATGGAATGCTGGTATACTTGGACCAGTGACATTGAATGGTCTCAACGAAGGAAGGAGGGATCTGTCTTGGCAGAAGTGGACCTACAAGGTTCGTTTTTGAATATATATCATACCCTTTCTTGCGACACTAGTATGTAAGGGACTCATTTATTTGCTTGCTGCCAATCAGATTGGTCTAAATGGAGAAGCATTGAGTCTTCATTCACTGAGTGGGAGTTCATCAGTTGAGTGGACACAAGGGTCTTTTGTGTCTTTGTGTCTCATAGATCAGCCACTTCATGTGGTATAAAGTGAGTATCTTAAGACTTACTTTTAAAGATGCATTTGATTAAATATGTTTCAATTAATTCTCAATTTGGTTTGCCTCAACAATGATCAGGTACTTTTAGTATTTTCAGAAGAAGTGCTTCCATTTTTCCGAAATTTCCTAAAAGTAATGGCCAAAACAAGTTCTTAAAACATGCATTTTTTTTTTTTTTTTTGTTTTGCTCTCCTCTCAAAAACTAAGGAATGATTTTTCTTTTTAACCGAGAAGCATGCATGTTCTCCCCCCTTTGGAGCCTAGTGCCAGCTTTGCTCCCATAAAATAATTTGCTTTAAAGAAACAGATTCAGTGAAGTAAAGATTTTTAATTTTCAGATTAGAGCATGCTACATGTTTTTAAACAGAATTTCCCATGGATTCTAGATGTAAAACTAACATCCTTGTGCACATGTCCAGACCATGTTCAATGCTCTGGCAGGAAATACCCCATTGGCTTTAGACATAGACATGGGTAGCATGGGTAAAGGTCAAGTATGGATAAATGGACAGAGTGTTGGACGTTATTGGCCTGCATACAAATCATCTGGAGATTGCGGTTTCTGTAATTATGCTGGAACTTATAATGAGAAGAAATGCTTAAGTAATTGTGGGGAGGCTTCACAAAGATGGTAAAGGAAATTAACTTTGCCTTTTCGAGTCTTTTGTACCACATGTGAAATCCTTGAAAAACTGAGAAGTTGTAATTTCTCAGGTATCATGTCCCTCGTTCGTGGCTAAATCCAACAGGGAACTTGTTGGTGGTGTTTGAAGAATGGGGCGGAGATCCAAATGGGATTTCTCTGGTTAGAAGGGAAGTAGACAGTGTATGTGCTGATATTTATGAGTGGCAGCCAACTTTAATGAACTACATGATGCAAGCCTCTGGTAAAGTCGACAAGCCATTGAGGCCTAAAGTCCATCAGCCAACTTTAATGAACTACATGATGCAAGCCTCTGGTAAAGTCGACAAGCCATTGAGGCCTAAAGTCCATTTACAATGTGGCCCTGGGCAGAAAATCTCATCAATTAAGTTTGCCAGCTTTGGAACACCAGAAGGGGCTTGTGGAGGCTACCGTCAGGGAAGTTGTCACGCCTTTCACTCTTATGATGCTTTTAACAGGGTATGTCAGTCTTTTTATTTTGTTTACCATCTTTCTTGCTGTAGAATAATTATTTTTAACTGTGATTCAGCAATTGGGACTCTAGTTCATTGGCTTGGTACAACAAGCTTGTCATTTCTCTGAGTTTGAGGAATAGTTTTTTCAGTCTCTAGTCCTGTCCAGCAATGAACTTGCATCTACTGGGCTGAGTTTTGAGAAAATGGGTATTAGAAGTTGCATTTATTGGTCAACTACGGTTCAGGCAGACTAATTATTTCCGTTCCATGTTTGAGTTCTTGTTCTTTGCTTCACCCGGTTTTCTTCATCCTTTATGTACCCTGATGCATGATTTTCTTCTTGCAGCTTTGTGTTGGGCAGAACTGGTGCTCAGTAACTGTAGCACCCGAGATGTTTGGAGGAGATCCATGTCCTAATGTCATGAAAAAACTAGCTGTGGAGGCTGTTTGCAGCTGACGGCCTACAACATGTGGAGCAGATAAAATAAACAAGGATCCTGATTTATTTTCTTACACTCCAACAATGTAGCTTCAGTATATTATTTTTTGGGCAAATTAAGCCTCATAGTGCAGACCACCACAACCACCATCATTTGTTCGGCTTTTACAGGGTGAAGTTGTACAAATATACAGCACACCTGGTTGAAAGCCCCACGTAGATTGTGAAGACAATTGCAGATAAGCTTTATCTTGTATATATAAGGTAGGCATTATTTAATGTTTATGCTGTTCATGCTGCATTGCTGCACATAAGTGAAGTCTCGGGTTTGGCAGAAGCACGTTGAGACGAAGCTAATCGAGTCCAGTGCAATTTCATAGTTTTAGAATATGGAAAGCCTTTGGTTTCCTGCAATGCTATTATATGTTATATTTCTTGTACTACATGTAATCTTCTTGGGAAACAATTCCTTCACTGCTTTTCTTGTAACTTGTAAGAAAGTTTCTTGAGGTTTGAAAAAAATATCTATGCTTATCAACTATTAAGATCATTTTTAAGAAGTTTTGCTGGATTACCGTATACATTTCTTATGCTGAAGTTTTATGCTTCTGCAAGTCAAGAAAATAAGCAATAGCATATATGTTGATGGTTCCAGCAATGACACGTCAAGAAGGGTACTTAATAGTAATTTAATGGATACAACCTCATTTAATTACCATAGTATAGTAATGACCTCCAAGAAGACATCATCCAAATATTTTTACATATATTTGAGCATCGGCAAGGCGCACAGCGACAGAGAGAAAAAAGACAGAAAGTCAACACGTTCTATTAGAGCAAATCGAATAATTGCATGTTAAGAATTTTCACAAAAAAGCTCATAGAAAAGCCACAAGGAAAGAAAAAAACTTGCTTTGAACTCTTTAAACAAGCTTGGATTGAAGCTAAAGGATGAAGAAGTTGTTGTAGTGTTCAGTAGCATCACATCAAACTTAAGAGGTAAGTTTGATATTTTAACCTTCATATGTGAAAATTGAGTTCTATTAATTGAGGTAGCTGTATGAAGAATTTACTTAAAGTTTAATAGATTATTTTTCATGTTCTTTCTTTCTTCATTGTTTTAAATGCAAAAGAAACAATATTTTGTTTATGCAATGGAGGTCCGTTTTGAGGATTTAAAGAGGAGAAAGAACCATACGCTTGGTTCTTTTCAGTTGTTTGATGCTAAAGCTGTCTATCATATGAAAGTTACAATGACGATGTTACTCATTTTACTGAAAATGTTTCGCTATTGTGTTTTCATCGTTCTAAAGGTGGTTTAAATCTACTTTAAGTCCTATGAATTCTCAATTGGTATTCTGAACGTTGTAGAAAAATTCTCTTTTGCTTCTGAGATTGAAGGTGAAACCTATTATGTTTTACCAAACTTGGGAAATCATTTTCAGAGTTTGTGAATGACAATGTAGAATCTTTGTTTGTTCTCACCTATGGAGGGGATGATCTGATAGATCCTGAGAGAATGTTGCAAGTAATTATTAATAATTTTAATTATTTGAATTAATTATCAGTTCTATGTTATTAAAAAAAATACTAAATGTTGTTATATTTTCTTCATAATTACAGAAAAAATGTTGAAACAATTGAAGCTTTAATTAAAGCTAGAAAATATCATGGAAATATCAAGCGTGGATTTTGCATAGATGACGAAGGAGATGGGGCAATTGTTAAATTTTTTAATTTTCAAGGATCCGAAGGTAAATTTATTTTAGGGTCTAATTACAAAATTGAGACTAAATTTTCAATCACCTTTTTAATTATGAATTTTGATTCTTTTTCAGATAAAAAATTGAACATGGACTAAATGATCACTTGAAAGATTTTGAAAGTTTGGTTCGATTTGCAATACATCGATCTCGTTACCGCTCCAAAATAGAGCAAAAAAGGTTCACGACAGTGTTTTGTAAACATTTGCTCTTATTTGAAACAACCAAAAACTGATAGGAGGTATATATATATAAGTGAAATTAACAACAAAATTTATGCTTTAACATCCTATTTCTTCATCTAATTTTGTGTTTTCCATAAGTGAAATTAACAACAAAATTTATGCTTTAACATCTTTTGTGTTTTCCATAAGTGAAATTAACAACAAAATTTATGCTTTAACATCCTATTTCTTCATCTAATTTTGTGTTTTCCATAAGTGAAATTAACAACAAAATTTATGCTTTAACATCCTATTTTTCATATGCAGTTGCAAATCAGTTTTTATGTTTAGACATCCTAATTTTTGGAGTAACACCCAAAAAATAAACTTCATCAACAAAACAGATTTGATGCTGAGAAGGTCAAATCCTCCTGCATATTTGTTTAATTTGACACTTTTTTCACAGTATTTTGATTGGAATACGGAAATTCCTAACAATTATAGTTTAATCACTGTAAGAGATTTTCAAGACAGTCAAAAGAGATATATTTCTCTTTATTTTATCACAATGAAATTCTTTCTTCATTGTGATGGTATAATTTTTGAAAGAAAATTGGGGGAATAGAAAAGGTTATGCATTTGAGGGAGCTCTATGAAGAATTTACTTAAAATGTTTCGCTATTGTGTTTTACTGAAAATGTTTCGATGTTACTCATTTTACTGAAAATGTTTCGCTATCGTGTTTTTATCGTCCTAAAGATGGTTTAAATCTACTTTAGTCCTATGAATTCTTAACTGGTATTTCAATGTTATAGAAAAATTCCCTTTTGTTTCTGAGATTGAAAGTGAAATCTATTATGTTTTACCAAACTTGGGGAAATCATTTTCAGATTTTGTGAATGACAATGTAAAATGCTTGTTTCTTCTCACCTATGGAGGGGACGATCTGATAGAAAAGGGATCCCTCCTGAGAGAATGTTTCAAGTAATTATTAATAATTTTAATTAGTTTAATTAATTATCTGTTCTATGTTATTAAAAATGCTGTTATATTTTCTTCATAATTACAGGAAAATTATTGAAATTAACAATAAAATTTATGCTTTAGCATTCTATTTTTCATATACAGTTGCAAATCAATTTATATGCTTAGACATCCTATTTTTTGGAGTAACACCCAAAAAATAAACTTCACAAACAAAGCAGATCTGATGCTGAGAAGGTCAAATCCTCTTGTATATTTGTTTAATTTGACACTTTTTTCACAGTATTTTGATTGGAATACGAACATTCCTTGCAATTCTAGTTTAATCAACGTAAGAGATTTTCAAGACAGTAAAAAGATATATGCAAAACATTTTAGGGCCATTGGATTTTTCAGAAATTCCTTTGTTCACAATGAAGAAACAATATATAAAAAAGGGTATACTCCATCCTTCAAAAATGTTTTTGCTTTTCTTTTTATTTCTCTTTATGTTATCACAACGAAATTCTTCCTTCATTGTGATGGTATAATTTTTGAAAGAAAATTGGGGGAATAGAAAAGGTTATGCATTTGAGGGAGCTGTATGAAGAATTTACTTAAAGTTTAGTAGATTATTTTTCATTTTTTTTTCTTTTTTCATTATTTTAAATGCAGAAGAAGACAATATTTTGTTTATGCAATGGAGGTCCGTTTTGAGGATTTAAAGAGGAGAGAGAACCATATTTTTGATTCTTTTGCAGTTGTTTGATGCTAAAGCTGTCTATCGTATGAAAGTTACAATGACGATGTTACTCATTTTACTGAAAATGTTTCGCTATTGTGTTTTTATCGTCCTAAAGATGGTTTAAATCTACTTAAGTCATATGAATTCTCAACTGGTATTCCGAACGTTATAGAAAAATTTCCTTTTGCTTCTGAGATTGAAGGTGAAACCTATTATGTTTTATCAAACTTGGGGAAATCATTTTCAGAGTTTGTGAATGACAATGTCGAATCTTTTGTTCTCACCTATAGAGGGGACGATCTGATAGAAATGGGATCCCTCATTAGAGAATGGGGGGAAATCATTTCAGACTTGGGGAAATCATTTTCAGAGTTTGTGAATGACAATGTCGAATCTTTTGTTCTCACCTATAGAGGGGACGATCTGATAGAAATGGGATCCCTCATTAGAGAATGTTTCAAGTAATTATTAATAATTTTAATTATTTGAATTAATTATCTGTTCTATGTTATTAAAAAAAATACTAAATGTTGTTATATTTTCTTCATAATTACAGGAAAATTGTTGAAATTAACAATAAAATTTATGCTTTAACATCCTATTTTTCATATGAAATTGCAAATCAATTTATATGCTTAGACATCCTATTTTTTGGAGTAACACCCAAAAATAAACTTCATCAACAAAGCAGATTTGATGCTGAGAAGGTCGAATCCTCCTGCATATTTTTTTAATTTGACACTTTTTTCACAGTATTTTGATTAGAATACGAAAATTCCTTGCAATTCTAGTTTAATCACCGTAAGAGATTTCAAGACAGTAAAAAGAAATATGCAAAACATTTTGAGGCCATTGGATTTTTAAGAAATTCATTTGTTCACAATGAAGAAACAATGTATAAGAAATGGATATACTCCATCTTTCAAAAATGTTTTTGCTTTTCTTTTTATTTCTCTTTATGTTATAACAACGAAATTCTTTCTTCATTGTGATGGTATAATTTTTGAAAGAAAATTGGGGGGAATAGAAAAGGTTATGCATTTGAGGGAGTTGTATGAAGAACTTACTTAAAGTTTAGTAGATTATTTTTCATGTTCTTTTTTTCTTCATTATTTTAAATGCAGAAGAAGACAATATTTTGTTTATGCAATGGAGGTCCGTTTTGAGGATTTAAAGAGAAGAGAGAACCATATGCGTGGTTCTTTTTAGTTGTTTGATGCTAAAGTTGTCTACCATATGAAAGTTACAATGACGATGTTACTCATTTAACTGAAAATGTTTCGCTATTTTGTTTTCTTCATCTTAAAGACGGTTTAAATCTACTTAAGTCTTATGAATTCTGAACTGGTATTCTGAACATTATAAAAACATTCCCTTTTGCTTCTAATATTGAAGTTGAAACCTATTATGTTTTACCAAACTTGGGGTTGGGGAAAAATCATTTTCAGAGTTTTGTGAATGACAATCGTAGAAATCCTTGTTTTGTTCTTTCACCTATGGACGGGACGATCCGATTAGAAATGGGATCCCTCATTAGAGAAATGTTTTTAAGTAATTAGAAATGGGATCCCTCATTAGAGAATGTTTTAAGTAATTATTAATAATTTTAATTAGTTAAACTAATTATCTATTCTATGTTCTTAAAAAAAAATACTAAATGCTATTATATTTTCTTCATAATTATAGGAAAATTGTTGAAATTAACAATAAAATTTATGCTTTAACATCCTATTTTTCATATGTAGTTGCAAATCAATTTATATGCTTAGACATTCATCAACAAAGCAGATTTGATGCTGAGAAGGTCAAATCCTCCTGCATATTTGTTTAATTTGACACTTTTTTCACAGTATTTTGATTGGAATACGAAAATTCCTTGCAATTCTAGTTTAATCACTGTAAGAGATTTTCAAGACTGTAAAAAG